TAGGCAAAAAAAGTTCTACGTTTTAATTTGGACATTTTAGATACTAGTGAGGTTATATTTTAATTTTTGTCCTAAGTCAAAAACAACTAGCAAAAAAGGAAATACAATTCTTTGAGTTTTCTGTTTATTACTGGATTCTGTTTTTTTTCTTAATTTATGCACCCTTTTAAAATTATACTCTCCTTTAATCGGAAAACTGTGTTTGGTCCCAGATGTTGGTTTCTAATATCATTCTCTAAGGAAAGGAAGAAGGGCTCCTTGGAGAAATGGCTGATTCTAGAACTAGGGCAGGGTATTTTGAAAATGAGCCTGGAGCGTCTTATGCCAAAAAGTGAAAGGTACTCCAAAAAATAAAATAAAATATATCGATGGTGGTATATCAAAGGGACATAGGATCCAGTTGAAAATGTCCCAGTGACCAAAGCCGGAACAATTTCAGCAGGAAAATAAATAAAATAGTGTTCATTTATAACTCAGAGTATAAATAATGTATAACTAAATAAAGTATAAATAAAGTATAAAAACTCAGAGTATAATAAATATCTTTGAGTCTACCGATACAAAGAAATGATTGAATGAATAAATAAATGGGGAGAAAAGAGAAATCTCTTTTACAGAAGAATTCTGAATAATTTATGTACATACTCTGCCCTCAAGGAGGGGAAGAATAAATCTCCACTCCTTAAATGTGGGCTGCATATGGTGACTTCCTTCCAAAGAGTACAGGGTGAAGACAGGGAAGTAATGAGTCACCTTACAGCGGAGAAACCTGGAAAACACTCCCTCAACCAGGTGATTAAAGCCAACATCAACAGTGCTAAGTCACATTGATAGTGTGTTCCCTTGATATGACGTGGTGAGAAGGGCACTTTGCCTTTGTGGTCTTCCTCCCCAAAACCCGTAACCCCAGTCTAATCATGAGATAGACATCAGAAAAGTTCCAATAGAGCAGCATCTTACAAAATACCTGATCAGTACTACTCAGAATTGTCAAACTCAACAAAAACAAGGAAAATCTGAAAAATTGTCTCAGCCAAGAGTAAGGAAACATGAAAAATAAATGTACTGTGGTCTCCTAGATGGGACCTTGGAACAGAAAAAAAGATCCTCAGTGAAAACTAAGGAAATCTGAATAAACTGTGGACTTTGGTTAATAACAATGTATCCATATTGATACATTAATTGTCCTAAATGTACCATGTTAATATATGATGTTAGGAATATCAGCAAGTTGATGAGAGGATATATGGGAACCTTGTACCATTTCCTCAATTTTTCTATAAGTCAAAATTGATAAAACTATTTAAACAAAAACAAAACAGCTTGCATTACTGACCAAAGGACTGCTGCAATCTGGAAGATTGGAGGTCAGGTATATTATCTTTTTCACCCCAGGAGATCTCTCCTTCAGATCTCTACATCTTTCCTGAGATCTGTGATGTGCATTTGTACATAAAAGTGTTCTGAGGGGGAGGGGACTGCATATTTGATGCATTCCAAGATAGAACTAGATATTTTGACATCCATCTTACATAAATAACAATTCCACCAACATGTATTTGGTTTTTAGGACCTGATGGTTGCAGTGTGTAATGTTTATTTATAAAAGTATTAAACATACTAAGGGCTCTTCCATTTCCATCACTCACTAGAACTTACCCCTAAAGTTAAAAGGATCCAGAACTCTGTAGAAAATGTAATAAAATGTCAATGGTTTTATTCCTTTTGAGTATTAAGTCTTTTACGAAACTAACTTTCAATGCTAGGTTTTAAATTACTTTTAGAAATGGGCAAGGGAGATATATCTGCCTGAATTATGGGACTGATGGTTCTGACAATGGAAAGTTAGAGACTAGGATACAAAATAACTTGCTTTGATCTTCAGTGCTCTGACTTAGGCTTCCTGGTACTTTCTCCTTTGTCCATTCCACAGTTCTAGTAGAGGGCTTACTCTGTGCTAAGCTTGATCCCCTTGTGGGGTTACATGCTTGTGGAAGAGACAGACAAAGGACAAATGGACCAACAAAATAATTTCAAATTATGGTGTGTAGCACAAAGAAATCACACATGGACCTGATGGACAGTATGGCAGGGGGAAGGGACAGAATGATCAGGGTCCCTATCTTAGTAAGGGAATCGTGGAAGTTCTTTGAGAAGATGACATTTAAGCTGAAACCTGCAAAATGAGAAGGAGCCATCCAGAAAGTATAAGGAATAATGTTCTAGGCAGAGGAATCAACATGTACAAAGTTCATAGATACTTTCTCCAGATCAGCCCTACCTTTTCTCGACTACTGCAGAATTACAGCATCATTTGATGTTATACATTTTATACCACTCAAATATTTCCAAACAAGATAAACAGTTCTATAAAGACCATCAGTACACTTACCTGTTTGTCAGTGTTTTCTTTTTTAAAAAACAATGAATAATAGCATGTTTCAAATTTTAAAGTAGTGTCATCAACAGGTGCATGGTGCCCAACCTAGAATTTTTAAGTAAGAAAATCTGGCAAATCCTCTGATAAACCAATATGATTGCATATGATGGGTCAATAAACAATTTGGATTTTTCTTTGTTAGGTCTTTAATTCTGTTAGTGAGACCTGAATGGTGACAGCTTTCTCATTGACTCTGCTTCCCAGTGAACTGCTTTTTCAGAGTAACTCTGAAAACAATGGAATAGATTCTAGGAATCCACGATCCAATTGGGAGATAGTTTTCCACCTGTTGGAAATGTGGTTCCCAAACTTTTCTTGGACTCCAAGGTATTTAATCTGCTGCTACTCCTGCCCCAGCCTCTAGGATCAGGCTGCAAGGTCCTATTTTTCTGGGTTGGAGACTCGGCACTGCTCACTGCCACTCACTGCCCTCATTTATATAGTCACGCAATCCGAAAAATTGTGTAACTATATTTCGTTTTATAAACTGAGATTTAAGGTAGCAAACGAGTGAAGAGCACCTGATAGAACGAATACACCAAGGCTTTATAAATGTGGCCTTCATTTATTTGTTATTCGTATTCATTTGAAAAAGGACTGGTTAAAGTGTAATTTGAAACACTATGAAATTAGTTAATAGTAAGCAAATGCTGTGAGCATCTTGCAGGAGGAATATTTAATGTGGAGAATACTTTTTTTCAAATATCTTTCACAAACTCTTAAGGGGCCTAACTGTAACATACCTACTAATTGAATGTAAGTAAATTTGATATACTAATTTGGAATAATTCATATTATGTAAATTTCTACTTAGAGAAAACTTATTTTTATTTTCTTTACCTTAATGAGTCTGAAATTTTACAACTATATTAAAAATCATGCATTTGTGAATATTATGGTACCTTAAAATTATTTACATTTGGAAGCTGAAGATTTGTTTGTTTGTTTTTTTTAATTTATTTGTTTTTATTTTTGGCTGTGTTGGGTCTTCGTTGCTGCGCGCGGGCTTTCGCTAGTTGTGGTGAGCGGGGACTACTCTTCGTTGCTGTGCACGGGCTTCTCATCGTGGTGGCTTCTCTTGTGGAGCACAGGCTCTAGGCACGCGGGCTTCAGTAGTTGTGGCACATGGGCTCAGTAGTTGTGGCTTGCAGGCTCTAGAGCACAGGCTCAATAGTTGTGGCTCATGGGCTTAGTTGCTCTGCGGCATGTGGGATCTTCCCGGACCAGGGCTCAAACCTGTGTCCTCTACATTGGCAGGCGGATTCTTAACCACTCCGCCATCAGGGAAGCCCTGAAGATTTGTTTCTAATTTTAAAATAACCTCAGTAGAATTATCAACCTCTAAACAAAGATTTTTAATTTTTATTTCTCTGAAGATAATTATTTAGGTTCAAATATCATGACCTCATTTTCATCAAATTGTTTTTCTTTCCTTCATTGACATACTTAAATCACTTTTTAAAAACTTTAAAAAAATTGTAAAATATGTCTTACATTCAAAAACCATATATAAGGCACAGTTTAAAGAATAATAAAATGAAAACACCTAAACAGTCACCCAACCAAATAGAAGCATTATTTATATTTGAAGTATCTTCTGTGTACTTCTATGTTGTATTTCCCTGCATTTCTCAAGAAGTAACAGCTATCCTGAGTTTTGTGTTAATCATTTCCTTGTTTTTAAATAATTTTATCATATGTACATATCCCTAACCATAATAATATATAGTAGTTTATTTTATATATCTGTTCAATAGGTTGAGAGTCTTGGTTGTACACAGCTGTAGTTCATTAAATGTTAAGTGCCATATAGGATTCAATTATTTGGATAGATCATACTCCAGTTTATTTATCTATTCCCCTTTTGATGGACATTTGGGTTGTGTTTAGTTTTTTACATTTTAAACAATGATGCTGTGAATACCCTTGTACATGTCTCCTGGAGTACATTTATAGGAGTTCAAATAGACTTTTAAAACCATATTTTTGTGATTATCAAGTTGGAGCCCAAACAAATTTTCATTTTTCTCAAATAAGTATTTTTTTAAATTGGTTGGGTCCAGTTGGCAGTATAAGAAGTAAAATCAATGACTAGTTCTTCTGAGTGCTAGAGAATTCATGTAATGATTATCCCTAAGTTAAAACTCACTTAGATGAGAATACATGCTTGAAGTATTTGTTTCTATTTTTGTTTTTAATTATAACCAATTGAAAAATGCATCCACTGAACCAAATTTGTTTATTTTGCCATTTCATCTATTAATGTAACTAATATTTGGATAGAACTCTACAGTTTATAAAGCACTTTTACATACCTTATTTCTCTTGAGTTTCACAAACATCTGAGGAAGTAGGTATTATTATTCTTCTTCTCTTTTTTTAGATTTATAAACTAATGATCCATGAGATTAACAGACTTGCCCAGATTTTAAATCTATTACCTCTGAATTTATATGCTATATACTGTTAATATTTTATAAATACCTCTTTGTGGGTATAGTAGATAAATATGTTACCATTTCTTTGAGAACACTGATTAAAATTTAACTTTCTTCCACAGTTCCATCTCTCTTATGCAGAAAAAGAATTGCTAGAGAGAGAGCCAAGAGGAGAAGCCCATCAGGAAGTTCTTAGGCGAGCAGCCAGAGACCTTCCCATCTACACCAGGACCATGTCTGGAGGTAGAGGATAACGAGTGCTTTGGCAGGATGGGTTGTGGTGATGGTTAGAAAGCATATCTATACTTGAAACTGTCAAGCACTCATTGAAACACATTGTGCTTCAGCTTGGATTATTATTAAATCTCTCCTGTACAGTCCATAAAACAGAATGGAAACATGAGTAATGCTATGGCACAGAGATCTCAACCAAGTCCGAACTGACTTTACTTCTATTCTGCCTTCGTAGCTGTGACTCAGTGAAGTTGTTAGAACTGCTGAAACTTGATTTGTAGTTGCGTTCATTTTTAAAGTTTTAATTCCTATTCTTATTTAATTCAAAAGAGCAGTATCTGTTATGAACATAACATTGATAATTTTACATAAATTTTAAACTTAGTATGTAAATTATACAAAACTTAATTCGGGTATTGATAAAATTTCTTTATCTTTAAAATTTATGGTTTTTTTTTTTTTTTTTTTACAAAAGCAACTCAATAAATCTCATTTACTTGGACTAAGATTTTTAAGGTAATTTAACAGCTATCTAATTAAAGAATTGTCTTAAAAACTGACACACATGGACTGCTGGTACTTGCCCACAAAGGCTCACCCAGAAAGAAACTCTGTGACTTTAGACGTATCCTGTCCCTTTCAGTGGCCACTAGCCCCATGTGGTTGTTGAGCACTTAAAACGTGGCTAGTCCAAATTGAGATGTGCTTTAAGTGTAGAACACACAACTAGTTTCCAAGACTTGGTATGAAAAAAGGACTGTAAAATACCTCGTTAATATTTTTATATTACTTATATTTGTTTCTGACTCACTTTAGAGTCATAATTGAATATAACGCTAAGCTTCACACTTGATTTTTTCCTGTTGCTTTTACTGTTTCTCAATGAGCAAGTGGTCATTCCCTGATTTAATATTATGCCACTGGTTCTATCCCATAAAGAGAGCGATGTGCTTATGTATGTTTACATATATTTACTCTGCATAAGCCTAAACTAATATTGAGGAAATTTAAGCCCCCTAAAAATAAGTTACTACACAAGTTGCCAAAACTAGTTAATGGCGGTGACAGTATCAGGTGCAAAAATCTTGTCTCATTCCTAGTGAAGTGCTTTTTCTGCTAGACCCCTTGCTACACCACATTAAGACCAAGGAGGGAAGTATAAGTCATACCAGGATAGAGTATTACTATTCATTAATAACAACTACCCTTTGGATTTATAAGTTATCTTCTTGTGTGGGTTATGTACTGGTAAGGCTGTCATCTCTTGTATTGTGTGCGTATCTCCTGGGATGAACTTATGTTTCTCAGTATTTGTGACAGTCTGGGACAGAATCTGGACTTCCTGATACAGTCTTTCTATTTTTAGTGCAAAAATTCTGGATGCATGCTAAAATCAATATTAACTGACTAGAGTCACTGACTCAAATTACAGAAAGTATAATAGATTATAATGCTGGTGTGATTGCTCTCCTTCTGGAACATGTGGAACGTAAAGGTAATCATGATGCAGAAAGGGCGTCCAGTGAAGCAGCCACAGTACCCCCAAGGCAGGAATGTGAGCAGGGTCCTTCTTACCCCATCCCCAGCAAAGACCCTTGGGTCGTTTGGATAACTTCCTTCTTCACCCTGCGAAAGGCCGTGGACTAAAGCAACTGAAAGGCTCAGTTGATGTTCACACACTTTATACGTCTTAAGAGAACTGAAGAAAGTAGATGGCAATATAATTTGGGATTTTCCCATTCATTTTCAATCCACAGTCCTTCCTCCAAACCTAAAAGAGAAAAATACTAGCTGCCTATATACTGACTGCTGTACCCAGAGAACAAAGTCAACCATATACGGACTTGGGTGTAGGGTGTAGTGAGGCAGGTATTAAGTCTCCTCATCTCACTTGTTTATCCTGTGCTTTCTTCTGATCCAACCATCTCCTGCTTTCTTACAGGGTTCTCCAAACTCTGTTATATTATCATTTATTTTTATTAATGAGGACTATTTGCTTTCTTAGCTCTCCCTTGCTATCGATCCTTTCCTACAAAAAAATATTTGTAGATTTTTTGACAAGGAAGGTAACCATTAGAAGTGAGGTAATTAGTCTATCATTTTGCACACAGATGTTGGTAATGTTTCCTTTTCAACATGTACCAAAGAAGTTTTAAATCACATAATACATGAATAAATTCTCAAAAAATTCAAGCAAGACAGTTAAAATAAAATGCCCCCTCCACTGTTAAGACTTTTTAAGTGATAATTAGATGGCTCATTTAAAATTCCAGTGGGATGATTTTAGTTGAATATAATATGGCACGTGGAGTGTTTTTTTATTATAAGACTAAATTTCTGTTTCTGAAAGACTGTAAACAAAACCTTTTTCTACGTTGTTTTGATTTCTTGTGAGTTATTGCCCACTTTAATTTGAAAGGTTTTTTTACCCCAGTGTACTTTAGAGATAATCACCACTTGGAGAGAATCTAGCATTGCCCACCAGAACTCACCTGGAAATTCTGTGACTTTAGACCCATGCTGTCCATTGTGGTAACCACTAGTCTTTAAGTTGTGATTACTGACAACTTAAAATGTGACCGTAAGTGTAAAACACATAACAGGTTTCAAAGGCTTGGTATAAAAAAAAGTAAAATATGTCACTAATATTTTATATTAATTTTATGTTGAAATAATATTTTGGATATATTAGGTGAAATAAAATATATCATTAAGGGGCTTCCCTGGTGGCGCAGTGGTTGCGAGTCCGCCTGCCGATGCAGGGGATACGGGCTCGTGCCCCGGTCTGGGAGGATCCCACATGCCGCGGAGCGGCTGGGCCCGTGAGCCATGGCCGCTGAGCCTGCGCGTCCGGAGCCTGTGCTCCGCAATGGGAGAGGCCACAACAGTGAGAGGCCCGTGTACCGCAAAAAAAAAAAAAATATATATATATATATATATATATATATAAAATTTAAATTAACTTCCCCTGTTTCTTTTTACTTCTTTTAACGTAGCTCCTAGAGAATTTAAAAGTACTCATGTGGCTCACATTATATTCCTTCTGGACAACACTGCCTCACACTTTGATACTTCGCATGAGCCAGTAATACCTTAGACCTTCACTTGGGATGTACCCGTGAGGCTTCTTCATTCAGGAGATGAGCAGGCCATGCCATCCATCTCTGGAATTTCTGAAAAAGAAAGTTATAAGGGAATGATTAAGGAATTATTTCAAAATTGAAAACAACTCCATCTAGGCCTTGTTGTCTTAAAAATAAACCTCATTTTATTCTTAGTTTATAGCAACCATTTCTGTTTTTTAGAGATTATAGTATTAGCTAATATAATCTTGGTAACCGTGTTGCAAGTATTTTTTCCAAATTTTAAGTTCATTAGTATTGGTTTTGCTGGTCCTACTGGACTGCCCACTTAACTGATCTCCTGTAATTTTGGCAGACTGAGTGCATCCTGTCAGATGCCTGTGTACTGAAGGAGCATCTCCAGATCAATCCTCCATAATTGTCTTTGATATCTGTATTAGAGAAGAAAGGATCAGGACTTCAGTCACAAGAATTAAAATTCTCTATTGGAAATACCTCTTGCAATACTCACTTCTAATCTTGTATTTCACCCAGCAGAAAAGATGTGAGTGCTTTCCCAATTCAAGCAACCAATTGAGTTTATTCACAAATTTCTAAAATGTGTTTCTCAAAAAACTTCTAGAATGTGGTTGTATCCTCCCCTAGTTATCCTGGCAGGGTACTGGAAATGAATTGATTTAGTCGAGGGAGACATTCTGTTTACTTTGATAGAAATGGACATGGTTGCACCCTTTGTGAATCTTACTGTGACTGCTTTATAATTATATAGTATACTTATAGTTGAGCGTGCCTTAGAAAAATTTCCCCAAAAGATTTTCTATTCTTGGGAAACCTCTCCAGACAACTGAGGCTATAGGCAAGTCATTCCATTTTTGTATTTACGCAGTCGGATATGTCATTTTTACCGAATTTAAATTCATTATGCTTTTTAGAATTTAAATTTGGATAGATGATTAAAAGCTATTTAATTGTATATTCAATTCACTGTTAAATCTAAGGCTAAGTGGAACTCTTTTTTCATAGCAATCCGCTATTGTGACAGATGCCAACTTATAAAACCAGATCGCTGCCATCACTGTTCCGTCTGTGATAAGTAAGAAAACCTTTTACTTCTAAAATGTCTACATGCTGGTGGTCTTTTTATTTAATATGTTTCTTTCCTCACCGCTTTCCACATTATTTCCTTTTCTCCTTATTCATGCTTCTCAGACCTTTATTTAAGAAGTATAACCAGCATGGTCCCTTGCATTAATATGAGTGTGGCTGAGGGCCGTGATTGGTTGCCCCTCTCCCCCCAGATTTTCGCTGATATGAATGAAGTGCATGATTTTTCGCAGCTCATACTTGGCTGGTTCTAGTTAACAAGTACTTCTGTGATTCATTTCCCTCTTTATAAAGATAACTCAATTGGCTTCATGACAGTCAGATGTTATTATATACTTATACAACAAGGACAGTACTACTTGGCTTAAGGTTGGATATTAACGGAAAAGCTTTATCCAGACTTCGTATAAATCTGTTGACATTTTGCACTTTATCTTTAGCATAAGAGTTGTATATTAACATACTGCTTGTTTTTACAAAATTGTTTTATTTGCATCTTAAAGTATGTATATTTTGAATTTAAAGTTCTACTATTGGATCGTCTAGAATTGGCTGTAGTGTGTTTATTTTAGATGAAGCCTTTGGCTACTATTCAGTTTTTAGATAAGTAAATAACTTTGCAATATTTTACTCACCACGACTCTTTTGAAATAGTATTTCCTCTTTATAATATATTGGGATTAAAACTTTGTGGGATGTTGAGTTTTGTATGTGTGATTTTTTTTTAGATGTATTTTGAAGATGGATCATCATTGCCCATGGTGAGTATGGCTCTATACTTAAAGAAGTTTCTGTCCGTTATAACAAGTTGAATCATAGATCTATTTAAATCTTGTTATAAATGAAATCTTGCCTTAGCTGACCTAGGAGGACCTTTCAGATTAAGTTTCTAGTATTTGTTTAGTTAGCTCAAAAGAGCCTTTATTCGGGAGAGTTTCCGTGAAATAATTTTAACACCAGTAGGTTAACAATGTAAAAGTTATTTTCTCATATTTGCTCAGAACAACTGGTTTTCTTTGTATGCACATGCATAAACACAGAGATTCTAAAATACTTCTCAGAAATTATACCAAAATGTACACATAAATTATACACGATAGTGCACTCAAAGTTTCTAATAAAGAATGAATTCATCTAGAGCTTTAATCTATTTTAAATAAAACGACATTTAGGAGTAGAATAGGAAATATACAAATACACACATATGTTTAAAAAAGGGTTTCCACTTAGAATTCATTAATATTTTTTTTTAAAAGTCTAAATCATGAAATTAGATAACTTAATAGAGGATTATTTGAAAGATCTATTTAACTAATGAAGGTTGATTTTTCTACCTTATAATTCTTCATCTCAATGTGCACATCCCTGTGACAACCACGCTAAAGTTGCCAGCCAGGTCGGATTTAGACATTAAGCATGATCATTCTAAAAGCCTTATCTTCTTTCAGGGATGGCACTAGGGAAAGGTAGATGTGCCCACAAATCTACACCGGGGGTAGGTGGAAACATACATAGTAAATGGTTATCTTAGCTACCGGAAACAATAGAGGAATGTCGGGTTTGCAATGTTATTTACCTCTCTCCAGGGTACCCCGTACTTTTCTTCACCTAGATTTTCTGCTTTAACATGTCAAGGCTAGTTAATGCCTATGAGAAGAATGCTCCTCTCAGAGAAAGTTGTCAGTAAATAATCTCTCTTTGGAGTATTAATTTTCATTTGAGGTCATTCTTTTGCTTTCCTCATTCTTTCCTTCATTCCATTCATTCTGTTCTCTTTCTCAGCAAGTTCTTTCCCCCTGACATCTCCAATTATACGTTTTCTTAGTCCTCCTTATACTCCTCTGTTGATCCTTCCAGTAACACCTGCTGTCAGTCCCTCCCCACTGCCACCATATCCCCACCATCCACCTGTGCATTCTCTGCGCCTGTGGTGGACACTTCCCAAGCCCACCCACTGTTCCTACTTTGGGCACTGCCTTTTCTTTGCTTCTCTGCCTGAGGGCTCTCTTATGTCTGGGGGGTTTGTTCAGCTCATAATCCAGGCAATTCAGAAGTGCCAGGCCATTAATGCTTCCAGAGGCCATTCTCACCCAGTGAGGGCCTGGCCAGGAACACATGCTTTCTCAGCTTTTCTCCTCCTTTCTGGATAGCTGGGTGGTCTAGCTGTGATTGAGCAGAGTGGTAAAGAAATCAGGGACATAGAATTCACTCCCGTTTTCCTATCTTAAAGTGATAATGGATAGTGGTAATAAGCAATGGAGAGCTGGAAACAGGATTAATCCCAAGCTAGTGCACACCTATAAAGCTTGCCATGCCCTTGCTATCCTCAGAAAATTACACATATAGAAATGATGATTTACTACGATAGCAGTCTTTCTGTTTGTTTTTTTTTTTAACTAATTTATTTTTGTCTGCATAGGGTCTTCATTGCTGAGCGCGGGCTTCTCATTGTGGTGGCTTCTCTTGTTGCGGAGCATGGGCTCTAGGCACGCGGGCTTCAGTAGTTGTGGCTCGTGGGCTCAGTAGTTGTGGCTCGCGGGCTCTAGAGCACAGGCTCGGTAGTTGTGGCTCACGGACTTAGTTGCTCTGCAGCATGTGGGATCTTCCCGGACCAGGGCTCAAACCTGTGTCCCCTGCATTGGCAGGTGGATCCTTTAACCACTGTGCCACCAGGGAAGTCCTGATAGCAGTCTTCCTAAACCTGAAATTAATTTGGCTTTAAAAGAAACATAGCATAATTGGATAATCTTTTAAATTTTGACAGACCCTGTTACATAAGGGGGGCAGATGTGACCCTAGAGTTTTTAAAAATGCGTTCAGATTACATGTCTATACACTACCTGTTGTCACCTTCACGCTGCGTGGCAATGTGGAGGAAGTTGAATGGACTCACTGCAGTGCCTTTCAGCTTCTGCGTTGCTGCTTCTCTGCACTGTCACCTCCTGTGCTGCAGCCACTGCCCCAGCCACCATCCAGATCCGGACACTCCCTTGCAGAAAGCAGTAACCAGGTCGACTTGTGAAGGGTTTGGTGCCGAGGACCTAATATTCACCTGGTGCCAGCTAATGGAGCAGCCATTTTATTTATTTTAAATTTCAAATTAAAATTCTAAATGAAAAAATGTACAGATAATACACGCTTGCAGTTCTAAATTCAAAAATAAAAAGGTACAGGTGTTCTTCTTAGCCCCTCCTCCCCACCTCCTTCCACTCCTCACAGGGAACCAGTGTTGGTTGCTAAATGTCACGTGTGCTTTTCAGATATAAACCTGTATGTGTGTGCTTCCCTGGTGGTGCAGTGGTTGAGAGTCTGCCTGCCGACGCAGGGGACGCGGGTTCGTGCCCTGGTCTGGGAGGATCCCACATGCTGCGGAGCGGCTGGGCCCGTGAGCCATGGCTGCTGAGCCTGCGCGTCGGGAGCCTGTCCCCGAAAAAAGAAGAGGCCAAAACAGGGGGGGGCCCGCGTACCAAAAAAAAAAAAAAAAAAAAAATCTGTATGTGTGCGTGTGTTTAATATTTTTTATACACATAAGAAAAATTTTTACACATTTTTTTTAACACAAGTGTTTGCCTTATGGACTGGGTCTCTGCCTTTTTTTCCCTTCACTTAATATATCCTGGAAATTGTTTCATATCAGTATATAAAAGATCTTCTTTACAGCCATTATGTGAATGTGTAACAGTCACTTACTAAGACCTTTAGTATGTTCCCAAACTGTGGGGAACCTTTTTATCCAGGTCTTGTGTATGATTTTGAAGTTCAGTATCTGTCAACTTTTAGTGTTGGAAAGATCATAGAGCCATACCTCTTCTGTTCTCAGTCACTTCAGCATGTCTGCTGTGGCCAGTTAAGAGTACCCATCAGGGTGCAGGGGATCAACCTCACACTTCTTTTTTAACTAAAGTAGAGATCCTGCAGTATTTGCCTTATTGGGTTTCCTATCAAAGAAGTGCTTTTTCTTTTAATATAAAATTTTCATGTATCAATTAATTATATTAACAGTATACCTTGACGTGCTTGCCAGTGGTTAGGTAGCCCTAATTAAATTAAATAATTTTAGCCTCCGTTTATTGAGTGCCTGTAATGTCTAAAGATGATATATCCATATATCTGTAAAAATCTGTAATCCTTAAAACAGTGACAGATATTATTAGAAATTACTTGTTTCATTTTAAAGAAGAGGAAAGTTGAGCCTCAGATAAATTAAAGAGTGGGCTTAAAGTCATATAGCAAGTTTTTTGGACTTCAGAGGCTACTTTCTTTCCATCCTTTTTTTTTTTTGTATTATGTTCTTTTTCCAGTTTAGACTCAGAAAGCAATTTCCCTAAAACAGAGCCAAGAGCTGTTTACCCTGAATTTAAACAACATATAAGGCATATTTACCTAGAATGTGTTTTATTTCTCCATATAAAGTCATTCAGACTCAGAAACATGCACTTCCTTTTCAAATTGAGTCTACAGAGTAGTAGGCAGTTAAAATGTCTAACCAAAAGCTGTCTGTCATGATGAGACTAAGATGTTATTAGAAATAAATATTATTACTCTATTTCCTCAAGTTCAAAGTACCTATCAGACTCTAAAATATCTACCTGGTCTTTATTTACTGACTTTCTCCTGTTTCCTGGCTCTGACATGGCAAATTACACCATGACCCTAAGTAGAAGTTAAAGTAAGCTAAATTACGTGTTGTAAAATCTACGTTCAAAATCATTTTCCTTTCTATAAAAACGCTATTTGTCACCTAACACAAAAGCTGCGTCTTACATTCCTGCAGGAAGAGAAACAGTCTTTTCTATCCCATCTCATTTTCCCCTCGTCCACAAAAGAGTCGTTGTCTCCATCCACATGTCCAGCCTTAACGCACCCAGCCTTTGTCTGCCCGTTCTCTCCTCTTGAAACCAATGCACGGAAGCACAGGGAATATCCTATATCCTTTTGTGACAGAATACATTTAGGCTAGGCTAGTCTGGAACTGTTTGCAGTATTATTTCTTGCCATTATTTCGTTCAGATGTCGTAAGAGGCAATCTCAGTAACTGGTTTGCACTCACACTGGAATCTCTAGAACTGCAAATGTTACTGTTTTCATACAGCGTGCACCCACAGTTTTGCCTTCTTTATGCATTTGTCATACACAACACCCTTAAGTTCCAAAATTACTAAATCTAATGCTGTTCCCTTTGCCTTATATTTTTTAAGGTAGATGTACACATTTTCCATTTTTGTTCCAAATTTCTGTTTATTCATAAGCCCAGTGTTTGACTTCTGAATTTTTTCAATTACAAAATTTTTTTTAATTGTATGAACACTTAGCATGAGCGCTGTCCTCTTAGCAGATTTTTAACTCCACAGTACAGTTTGCCGACCACAGGTACAGTGTTGTACAGCAGATCTAGAACTTGTTCATCTTGTGTAACTGAGTAAACATTTTTCATATGAACATAGTTTCACCGTAAGAGAGGCAGAAAAATGTTTCAGTTTATTGGCAAAGGCAGTAGAGAGCAAGATTACCTTATACTAACATTAGAGTAGGAACAAAGGTGTTTGAAGAGAGGAAACACCTATGTGTTCTATGCAATGAGTTTGTTATACCAATTAACAAAGTGAACCCGTGAAGATAGCAGCCAGTTCCACTTAGGTGTTGTGTCACATTTATACATTATCTAGGAATTCCCTTGTCTTTATGAAAAGGGGGGAAAAAGCTTTGATAGAAAAAGTGTGACTGTAAAGTATGAGTTGTATTTGTATTTATGTTTATTGGTACAGTAGTTTGAATTCTTACCACCCCTCTTACCAAATAGAGTGATTTCAGAGTAAGGACTGAGAATTATATATCTCCATTTTCGGAATCATAACATATAGAGCTGGCTCTCAGAAAGGATCTCAGAGTGCTTGTTTGACAGATAAGGAAAATGAAATTCTTAGAGACGATAGCACTTTATCAGGGCCACATAGTTATTTAGCATCAAATGTGCACGACGACCTGGCTGTCTGGTTCCCAGTCCTGTTTCTTTTCTTAAACCTACCACTTAATATGCTTTGATAATCTGGTTGCTTCAGTGCTATACTGACGGCATGCAAGTAGTCTCTGAATAAATTTCATCTAATTTGGGAAAACTTGAAAGATTTTTAAATTACTTAATCGTAGTTAGAAATCAAACCCAAAGGCAACGCAGAGAAGAACTTAGAAAATTCCTTTTATCTGCTTGGTATGAGTAGATTTCTCACAGTATCTATGCTTAAGGCATGTGTTTATTTGTGTAACTGGACAGGAAATATAGGGGTCATGATTGATTAAAGCAGTATTACATATATATCAAATTTTAAAAATCTGAACATAGAAATTCATTTTTAGTGAAGTGGATTTTTTAATGTTTGTATGTGTAAAGAAATCTGAGTTATGCTTAAAGAAATGCCAATAAATTTTAAATGTTAGGAAACAAAATACTTGTATTAAGGTTGAGCATATGTATACCTAGGGTGACAATGTAAAACTCATTGAAAATGTTGTTTTTGTTTTGTTAACAGGGTGAACAATTGTGTTGGATTTTCAAATTATAAATTTTTCCTCCTTTTCTTGGCTTATTCTCTGCTGTACTGCCTTTTTATTGCTGCTACAGATTTACAGTATTTTATCAAATTTTGGACTGTAAGTCATTACCTTGGTGACTTTTTTGGTATATTATAGATTTTCAGTAGTGAATTAATCCTGACACTAATTTTATAGAAGAGAGCTAACATATATAGTCAGTCCTCATTATTCGCAGATTCTGTGTTTGTGAATTCACGTACTTGCTAACATTTATCTGTAACCGCAGAGTCAATACTCAACGTAGCTTTTGTGGTCATTTGCAAACATGCACAGAGTAGGGAAAATGTGAGTCACCCACGTGCACATTTCTAGTTGAGATCAAACCAGAGGACCTGCTGCCTTCCTGTTGGAACTCACATACTGTAAATAAGTGTGCTTTTTCATTCTATTTAGTGCCATGTCTTTTGCATTTTTTGTGCTTTTTTGTTGGTGATTTCATTGTTTAAAAGGTCTTCAAGCCTAGCGCTGAAGTGCTGTCTAGTGTTTGAGCAGAAGAAGAGACTGAGATGTGCCTGACGGAGAAAATACATGTGTTTAGTGTTTAGATAAGCTTCCTTCAGACCTGAGTTATGGTGCTGGTGGCTGTGAGTTCTGTTATTTAATATGCATTAAATAAGGTATAAATTAGGTTTTATAAGCAGAAACACACAGAACAAGGTTACGTATTGATCATTTGACAAAAATATTGTGACCAGAGGCTTACAGGACCCTAACGCTGTATCTTCCCAGGAGAAATGGCTCAGGATTCACAAATTCGGTGTTCATGGCAACTTTATAGAACAGCACCACTGCGAATAACGAGAATTGACTATATAAGAAGAATGTTTTTCTTAGTATTGAAAAAATAGAAGTATTTCTTTATGTGTCAAACGATTATTAAACTATTATACCTATAATGTCCTGAATTGTTATTAGATATTGTATATGCTTTAGGCAGCTCATTTGTTTTCTTCACTGTATATTTTAAACATAAGCAAAATGAAGTTAGAACTATGTGTTTTAAATACCCAAAGATATTCCTTACAACACCAAACAATGGTAAAAAATAACAGTTATCCCCTGCAGGGTTGCTTTATTACATTCATTAAATTATCCTTTCTTATGGTAAGGCTTTCTGAATTGCTAGATCACTGATGTGAGATTTGAACCACATTCAATACTAAAGATTTATTGAATCCTGTTATGTGCCAGTTATATTGCTAAGTGCTAGGAATCCACAGGTGAATGAACATGGCCTAGCGTTCAAGGATACTTCCAGTGTCCAGCTGGGAAGAATGATCTCTAATGAATGTCTGAGAGCCTGTGGCATCACTGCTCCTCATTCCTGTGGATGATTTTATTTCCAAACCACAAATAAATTTGTAAAGGCACAACTGGTTTTCACTGTGATGACTCTGCTGTCAAAAGCTATCAGTGAGATCTTGTGACCTGGGTCAATCTGACAGGTACTACAGGATATTGAAACAGAATATCAGAAGGGGACACGTCCTGGCAGCTCTGGTGCTTCACTAAGTGTCCCCAAGCCTGCCATTCTAGAGGGACTCGAGATCTCCTTGGACATACGAACAAGGAGCAGTCTGGGCTTTTTCATCCCATGGGTACTGTAAGGTTTATTTTAGACAGGTGTTATAAACCAGTGTTGATCTTTTTTGTGACGACGTTGTTTAAAGTAGCTTGAAGTATTATTGTGGATGTGTTCTGTGTGTTTGTAGTTGATGCTGTTGTTTGTAGTGATGTAAAACATCAATGAGAAGAGTAGCTAAATTATGCCAATTAACCTTCCATTTTCTGGCATTATAATCAAACTGTTTAAGCATTTGTAAATCTGGAGTATGTTAACAAAACATTTTCAGGAAGTAAATTAAAAGCTATATTTTATAGCTTGTTTTATCTTGTTCCCTACTGATACAGTTTACACACCATAATTTTTCTATGAATTTGGTTATACAAAAGAAAATAAATATCCCAAATTTTAATATATTTTCCATATATATATACATATATATTCATGTTCTAGTAAACATTTATTCGAACCTGAAGATGTATTTTTTCCTCAAAGTTTTAACATAAAGCCATATATCTTTCTCCATACCTAAATTTAAGAAAAATTTTATGGAAAAAATCTTACTTATAAAAGTAGGGGAATACTTATCCCTTTGACAAAACATTTTATTTTCTTCCTTTCTTTATAGAATGGCCTACCTGATACTCAAGCCAAGTTCCATATTATGTTTTTATTCTTTGCTGCAGCTATGTTTTCTGTCAGCTTGTCTTCTCTGTTTGGCTATCATTGTTGGCTAGTCAGCAAAAATAAATCTACATTAGGTGAGTATCCAATTATTGTAGTTAACAGAACTTTAAATACAAAACCAAATAGTCATCAGAAGTTGCCATATGATTAAATGCTAACCTGTCCTGAAGCTGTAAAATCATTCTTGTTTCCCACATTGTCTTGTGGGACAAATACAAATTCACTCATTCCATATATTTTTTGACTGTCCATTGTGTGTAAAGCATTGTGTATATACAGTGGTTAGCAAGGGTGAAATAGTCTAGTGAGGGACACAGAAAATCAATAACCAAACATAAACGTAATTACAAAATGCGAAGTGCTTTGAAAGAAACAAACAGGATGTTCAGGTATGAATCAAGGTCTGGGGATGGTAGAAGGGAACTATTTAGATGGAGTGGTCAGGGAAGAGCTCACAAAAGCAAAAAGTATATTTAAACTAAGAAGTCAGAGCCAGAACATCTCAGGCAGAGAAAACAGTATGTTCAGAAGCCCTGCAGAGATGGGATACAGCAAAAGCAGTGCTTAGCAGGAAATGTATAGCTATAAATGCTTACATTAAAAAAGAAATACCTCAAATCAATAACTTTACACCTTAAGGAACTATGAAAAGAAGAGCAAAAAGTAAACCCAAAGCCAGAAGAAGGTGGGAAATAATAAGGATTAGACAGGACATTATGGAAACAGAATTCTAAAAAACAGAAGATCAATGAAATCCATAATTAGTTTATTGAAAATATCAACAAATATGACAAGCCTATAACTAGAAAGCAAAAAAGAGGACTCAAATCATGAAAATCAGAAATGAAAGTGGGAACATGACTACCAACCTTGCAGAAATAAAAAAGTTTAATTAGGTAAACTTGGGACTTCCCTGGTGATGCAGTGGTTCAGAATCTGCCTGCCAATGCAGGGGACACGGGTTCAAACCCTGGTCCAGGAAGAGCCCATGTGCCATGGAGCAACTAAGCCCGCGCACGGCAACGAAGACCCAACGCAGCCAAAAAATAAATTTTAAAAAAAATTAGGTAACCTAGGTGTAATGGACAAATTCCTAGAAACACAATCTACCAGTGTGACTCAAGAAGAAATAAAAACCTGAATAGACTTATAATATAAGTAAGGAGATTGAATCAGTAATTTAAAATCTCCCAACAAAGAAAAGCTCAGGACCAGTTGGCTTCACTGATGAATTCTATCAGACACTTAAGAATTAACATGAATTATTCTCAAACTATGCCCAAAATTAGGAGAGAAGGAAACATTTCCTAAGTCATTCTGTGAGGCCAACATTGCCCTAATACCAAAGTCAGACAAAGACATCACAAGAAAAGAAAGCTATAGACCAATATTCCTTATGAATATAGGTGGAGAAATTCCCAATAACATATCTGCAAATCCAGCAGCACGTTAAATCCTACTTTGTCATGGTATATAACCTTTTATCCCAGGAATGCAAGGGTGGTTCAATGTATAAAAATCAATCAATGGTAATATACCACACTAATAGAATGAAGGGGAAAAAAGCACATTTTTATCTCAACTGTAACAGAAAAAGTGTTTGACAAAATACAACACCCTTTGATGATAAAAACACTTAAGCTGGAATGGAAGGCAACTTCTACAACCTGACAAAGGACTTTATGAGAAATTCTCAGCTAATATGATACTCAGTGGTGAAAAATAAACCTTTGCCCTAAATAAATAAACCAAAGATTCCGTCTTTCACTATTGCTGTTCAGCACTGTACTGGAAATTCTAGCCAGAGAAATTACTCAAGAAAAGAAATTAAGGCATTCAGATTGCACAGGAAGACGTAAAACTATTGTTTTTGTGGATGAAATGATCTTATATATAGAAAACCGTAAAGAATCCACAATAAAAACTATTAGAGCTAATAAAATCTGCAAAGTTGCATGATCAATATGCAAAAAAATCAGTTGTGTTTCTATATACTATCAGTGAACCATCCCAAAGGAGATTATTGAAATTTCTATTACAATTTCAATGGCCTTTCATGCATAAATGGAAAAGCTAATCTTCAAATTCATATGGAATTTCAAGAGGCCCCAAATAGCAAAAACAATATCCACCAAAAAAAATTGTTAAGTTCTTCCTGTTTATAAAACTTGCAACAAATCTATAGTAATCAAAAGAGTGTGATACTGGCTATGAGATTCCGTTATTATAATAGTGAAGATTAATTGTAGTATATAGTCAGTGAATGTTCATTTTTAGGATTCAGGTGAAATCTTATCCCAGCAAGTACTATTAAGGTGAAAATATTGGTATAATAATTTCTAAACAAAGTACCTTATTTCAAATTATATGTAGAGCAATTAAATTATTTTTCAAACGTAAATTTTTCTACTAGCTTTTAACTTCTAGAAACGTCTAGATTTAACTTGTAACACTGAAAGGACTTCCTCTGGACAGTATGGTCCTATAATTATTAAAGTGTTTTATAAAAAGCTATATAACCTAGGTTGATAAATGTTAAGGATCTTGCAAATCACATTTTTCATAGTACCATGACTCTGCTAGTTATATTTTTCCTTTTTTAAATTATGGGCAGAAATCATTACACTTCTATGTTTATTTGCACCCCAAAACTAACATGTTAGATTTTGCATCTCGGCATTATTTAAGAAGAAAATGTAGCATCATAGACAGAACTTTGATGACCTTGTTCAAGTTCCACTTCTGTCATTTATTTTTTGTGATATTTTGAGCAAGTTGCACGGTCTCTCTGAACCTCAGCTTCCATATGCAGAGTGGGCATAACCAGCTATGATGTACGGCTCTGCATTGGACCCTGGTTTGGACAAAGATCAGCTAGAAAAAAATTTATGATTGGATGAGATAAAATTTTAATGAAATTGGAAAATGGAATTTATTAACTGAAAAAAGGTTGTAGAATGTATCTTTAGTCGCACTTTGGTTAAAAAAATGTACATTTGTAATTATTTTCTCTATCCATCCAGCCGTCCATTTAATAAAGATTTAGAAGATATAAAGTTTTATTTGCTTGTTTGCATTTTCTAATTTTCTGCAATGCAGATGTGCTGCTACAAGAATAAAAGGGTTACTTAAAAACTAAAATAGATCTAATCATATTTTATGTTTGTTTTAAAAGAATAGACAGTCTTCATTGCAGGGCTGTTGATAGGCACATAAGCAGTCACAGGAGGCTAGCCATTGGTTTTCAGAGTTTCTTCATTTAATTCAGTCATTTCTAACTATAGGGGTTGCTAGATGATGTGCTCTTTACTCATGTGATTGCTCTACCATCTTTTCTAGAGGCATTTAGAAGTCCAGTATTTCGACATGGAACAGATAAGAATGGATTCAGCTTGGGTTTCAGTAAAAATATGCGACAGGTTTTTGGTGATGAGAAGAAGTACTGGTTGCTACCCATTTTTTCAAGGTACTTTGTTGTGAAAATTTTCAGGGTTTAGACTGAAAATGGAAGTAATCCAACAAAAGAACTCTGTAATTCTGCATAAAAACTATTTTTTACAGTATTATTTTATGACTCACTGTTGTATCAATGTGGAAATCAGTTGACTCACATCTCCGTAAACATACCACATTCAAGCCAATGTCTGATATACACGTTTTGTCCATAATATAGCTATGTTCTACTCACAGAGATCATCTTTTTTACTGCATAATTGTAAGTTTTTATTTTAATTACAGTCTAGGTGATGGCTGCTCCTTTCCAACTTGCCTTGTTAACCAGGATCCTGAACAGCCATCTACTCCTGCAGGATTGAATTCATCATCTAAAAAGTGAGTCCATTTTTTTTTTCTATTTTACTTTCAAAGAATATATTTTATCCTCTTGTGTCCTTCAATTATATGTTCCTTTGAAAAAAAATTTTAAGAACTTAAGATAATTTACTACACTGGTTTCTACCTGGAATGAGGGTGAGAGGAAAGTATGACTGGGGAGGGTTACATAGGGAGCTTCAGTCATAATTATAAAATTCTGTTATTAATCTGGGTGGTCAGTAAACAGGTGTTAACTCTCTATACATTTTTGTTAACGGAAATAAATTGTGATTTTTTTTTAATGTGGTGCTTAAAAGAAAATAACGTAAGTCCAAATTAGTCCCCCTAGTGATCAGGTGAGCAGACAGGTTAAACTTTCCCTCTGACCCTCCGGGCCTTTCTTCTCGGCCGTAACCGTTATAAAGAGATCAAAAAACTTCCCTGCCTGGATCAGGCCTTTGGAGATGAAGTGGAATCCCAGACATCTGCTTGACAGTCCCGTTAGCAATGGGCACCATATCCTTGGTACTCTTCCAAGACCTCTAAGCATGATCTGAGCCATTTCTGTGGAGAGAGAAAGGAGGGAGTCTCGGAAATTCATTGTCTGGAGACTTTGGTTACTGCTTTAAGTCTCTTTTGGTTCCAGTCTATCAGGCATTTGAGGAAGACCTGAAATTGGATTCTGACTTGGCTACTAACTGCCAAAAGGCAAAACTATCTAAATGTTTCAAAATGCTCTACGTGAAGTTTTAAGTTGAAACATTTTTTTACATGTTCAAGAGAGACTTTTTTTTGATGTGACCATACCTCTGATTTTTAAATGAAAGCCAATAGTAAAAGCATGACCATAATATCATTAGTTAAATTTTAAAGGTTTTCTTAGTTGCTGGAATGCTGTGTTCATAGCACCTATGCTTATAGTCTCCCCATCTAGTTCGTGTTTCTTATTGATCACGGCGCTTTGTCCCTTGGAGCCTCATGTGACCCCAGCATCCATCTCAAGGTGGCGATTCTGGCAGCCATTCCAAAGTCATCTTAAATTGTCATGAGATGAAACCTATTTGCCCCCCCCATCCCTAGAGTGAGCTATGTGCAGTCCAGACTCTACCAGTTAATGAGGAGGCCGTTCTCATGTGTGTCACATTCAAAGGCACCAGAGTCTTACTGGGTCCTGCCCTGTGAGTTTTGGCTTTAAAATTCCACAGAGCTAAATGCTAATTTTTTTTTTTTATATACCTCAGGGCAGAAAAATCTAGTTTTAATAAATTACTTAGAATGCTTTCCTGCTTTTATAAAAGTTAACAGTAGTTTTCAATAATGTTTTTTATCCTTGTTAAGAGGTTTTTGCAGTTTAAGACTATTTGGGTTTTAGAGATAGTATCTCTCCTACTAAATGTACAATGGGCGTTGGGAGAAATCCTAGTTCTGGCACTGTTACCCAGCTAGGTGATCTAGAAGAGGTCACGTAACCTCTCCGGGCTTCTCTTCCCTTTCCTTTAAATGTTGAGATTGGATTTTGACAGCTAAAGTCTCTTCTACAAAATTCTATAATTTCCCCCGATTAGCCCCTATGAATTGTCTATGGCTAGTGCTGGTCTCCCCTGTGTACTCCAGAGTTGTATATTTGATTGTCTACACAGTGGTCCCACCTAAACATCTAAAAGTCATTGCCAGCTGAACAGGTGCAAAGCAGAACTCTTGATTCCAAGCCATCTATACCCTTGCCCCACCCAAAACTCGATTCTTCTTCATTCTTTCATGTATCAGTAGTAGTGACCTCCATTCTCCCAGATGCTCAGGCCAGAAACTTGGGAGTCATACTAGATTCCTCTCTTTCAGGGACCCTGTATATACAGATGTAGATCCTGTCAGATATCCCCTCCAAATATATCTATAACCTGGATACTTTCTTACCACCTCCAAGGCTGCTTTCCTGGTCCAAGCCATCATTTCTCACATGGATTATTTCAGTACCTTCATTACTGACCTTTCTGATTCCATGTTTGCCCTCCTCCAGTTTATTCTCCATTAAAATGTCAGAGTGATCCTTTTAAAGCGTAAATCATATTGTGTCACTCTTCTGCTCAGAACCCTCCACTGATTGTCCATCTTGCTCAGAATAAAAGCTAATGAATGTCCTTACCTTGCGCTGACTAACCTCTTCCCCAGCACCTCTCGATGTCACCCCGTACCACCTTCCCAACACTCACAATCCTCAGACACACGGATCTTGCTGGTCCTCAGATACACCAAGCATGTTCCTTATTGAGTGGCTTTGTACTTGCCAGTTCCTATTCCTAAAGGTTCTTCCTCTGGATATCTGAACGGTCTGTGCCTTCACTTTACTTTCTGCTCAGGTGTAGCTTTACAGTAGAGGCCGCCTTTGGAAACCCTTGGATAATCGTAACTTGCCCCTCCATTCCCTTCCTACTGTCTTTTGCTGTCGTCAGAGCTCTCCTTACCACCTGACTTACTATATATTTATTATACTTCTTCCTCAGTTACAACAAAACTTCCATGAGATCAAAGACTTTACTCACTGATGTAACAGATATTCAATGAGTATTGTTGAATGAGTGGATCCTTGCCATTTGTTAGATTCCTGTTAGCAGTAATGAATCTCCAAGCAGTCCTTAAACCAGGACTTAGTTAGCTGTACTTGGTCTAAGGTCCCTTTCCTGAGGAATAATTAGAATTAGAGTAAAAGAGATATTTCATATGAATAGGAGACAAGCTTTTCTTTTTTAAGATTTTCCTCCCAAAATTTTAGTAAGGGGTTGTTAAAGCAGCACAAAATTGAAATAGTCTCAAATTTTAGGTACGAGGTAATTGTTAAGGAGCAAAGGCATATCCTTTAAAAAATATAATAGTTATAGTCAACTAAAATATGTGAAATTACTCTTGGAAGAATTTTAAGTGGGTTTTTCTTTTGAACATTATTATAATTTCTATTTTGGTGTGTTGTAAAATAATACACTAATAGTTTCTGTGCCAATAATTTTTTTAATCTAAGTGAAATTCTATTTTATGTACATTTTTTTCATACCATCTAATATGTCATATGTGGCATGTCTACTTAAATTTTAAAACCTAAAGTCTTTCTTTTAAACTCTTTATTTACCAAATTAAACGTCAGATTTTTAAGACCTGACAATGTCAGATGTTTTCAACATTCCTGCAAGATAACGTTCAAATTTGTTGTTTCAGTTTTATAGAGAAAGATAGAGAATTCTTTGTTTGTCGAGACCAGTTTGGCCACTTTAGAAACAATAAGTAGGTCAGTTTTTCTCAAACTTATCTTTCTACCATCATCTTCATATATTTTTTTCCATATGCTTTCCACTTGTAAAATTAATATTTTTCTTTAATATTTTTATTTAAATTGCCACTTAAATTTTTTTAAACCAAACTTTATATCACTGTCATAAATGAGAAATTAGTGTAATTTGCCATAGAATATAACTTAAAAAAAAATAAAATCAATAATAAAATACTGTTAAGTTCTAACTAGATTCCCTTACCTGCTAAAGTCTTAGGCTGAGGCCTATTCTCCATATGAAGAATGGAGATTTGCCAAAGTCAGAGATTGTCATTGTATTGTAATCAGAAGAAAGAAAAGTGAACTGAAGGGAGAACGCTTTTTTCATTGTGAGTCAGTGTGATTTAATGCCTTGTTCCTGTTTTCCCCAAATTCTCTTGTGTAACTCCTACAATTATCTTGCACCACAAGTGGGTTGAGTTCCATCCTTTGCAAAACACTCACCCTAATACTATCAAGAGCTAACCTAATGATCATGATGATAATTATTGTTATTCAGTCCTGAAAACCATCAATTTCCTGCAAAGCCATTGAGAGAGTCCCAGAGCCACCTTCTTACTGATTCTCAATCTTGGACAGAGAACAGCACAAACCTGGGAAAAGGTAAAGCTGGTAAGAGTATGCTTGTTCGGCTATTTCGATATATTTTATTTTTAAAAGGTGAAAGTGGTAAAAATTTTTCATTCTTATTAGCTGTAGAATTTTTCTTGTTTTGGAGGCAGACTACCATTGTAAATATAGAACTGTTTTCAAAGAACTGCTTGTGAAGTGCTTTGATTAATGTCTGGAAGCTGTAGAAAATCATTTTGTGAAAAATAGATTTACATGGCCTTTTTCCAATTTAGAAAACCAAATCTTTATTACCGCATATTAAATAAAATGGTAAACTCAAAATATAATTTATTTAAAAATTGGAAAAAGTGCAGTAAGCTCAGACAAAAGGTTGAAAACTATCTACTGAAAGGGATCTCAGATTATGTAGTTTTTACTCAAAAGTTTTATCCATTTCAAAATGTCGAAGTAAAGCCACTGCAGAATTGCTATAACTTTAGCTACCTGTCATTTCTTCATATCCCACTCACAGTTCTCTTGATATTGTTGATTTGAATCTTTTGATGATATGGGTCAATATAGTTTATTGGCAAAAAACAAGGAAGTGTTTGAAGGCAGACAGACCTGATATCAAAGCCCAGTTTGGGCACCTAATCAGTGTGTGGTATTTGTTAAGTTACTTAACCTCCTTTAGACTTAGCTTCATCTTTAACATACTACTTATTTCTCAGGGTTGTTAGTATTAAACAAAATATGTGATCATATGTGCAGGGGTGTGTATATATTATATGTGTGGCCTCCTGAGTGCGAAACCATGCATGCTCAGTTAAGGCACTGTTAGCCAGAAAATCTCCAAATTGACCTATTTAAGTCTTCAAATTTGGTTTCCCCTTCATTTCTAGTCTTTTCTTCAAACCTTTTCCTAGTGCTTGCCTGACTTTGGCTTACTGCACTTTAAAGTGTTTCCTGGTTTATTTGAAATCTCTTTGGGATTTAGTGAAAAACAAACGGATAGTCCTGAGTAAAAATTCTTAAGTCATTATTTAATATATAATCAGTCACATTCTCTCTTTCTTTAAAGAGTCTTGTTCTTGAGAAATGCGTATGCCCTCTGAAGATCCCCGTGATTTGAGTATTCATAATTTGGTCTGTCTCTTCACCTTCAAACATTCCATTCCATTTTTCAGTCTATGGGAGGGACTAGGTATTACCTGAACAAAATTGATGACACCTGTTTGCCTTTTGAATCCCTCAGTTTCCTTAGAGACAGAAGTGATGTATATGTGGGGGGTAGAAAGACAAAGAACTGTCTTTCAGAAGAGATTCATATTTCACTTTATAGTTCTACATTAATGTAGAAGTGATTTTCTGGTTTCTGTGTGCTGTTAGTTTGGAGACATAGATTAATTTTCTGTTACTGTGATAGATAAATTGAGAAATTATTTAAAGTTTAAAGGATGGTGTAAAAGAAGGAAGAGAAATATGAAAATGGTGAGATGAGAAAGGGCTCCAAGATTAGTTTGACAAGAAGGAGGTAGGTAGATGAAGAATTAGAAAACAGTGATTTAAGGTAGTGTGAGAAGTGCCAGGCTCAATGTTTCTTACGTTATTTTATTCACACCCCTACTTCCTCAGGTGTATATATTTAACTGTTTTTAAAGTGCTTTTTTTGTGACACCGGTTGTGGCCAACTGTACTGTATGTGTGTGTGTGTTCTATGTAACATCTTCTAAATACCCATACTACGTACAGGTCACTTTTGGAAAAACACTGGCAGGATTCATGACTGAATAAACAAGTCTCTGCCTATTTGTTCAAAAGCAACAACAAAAATTGCTAACTTATGTTCTTTCTTGAAGGTATGAGCAATCCTGCACTTACCATGGAGAATGAGAATTAACTCTTCTAACAAAATTTACTCATACTTCACGGAAGTAAGAAAAGCTTTTCCTTTATTGTTATGTTTTATATTTTCAACAGTTCTCTAGCTCTCTTAGTGCAAATAGTTTCCATAAACATTTATTTATTTATTTATTTTATAAATTTATTTATTTATTTTTGGCTGCGTTGGGTCTTTGTTTCTGCGCACGGACTTTCTCCAGTTGAGGCGAGAGGGGGCCCCTCTTTGTTGCGGTGCACGGGCTTCTTACTGTGGTGGCCCCCCCACCCCGTTGTGGAGCAGGGGCTCCAGGGGCACGGGCTACAGTAGTTGTGGCACGCGAGCTCAGTAGTTGTGGCTCACAGGCTCTAGAGCGCGGGCTCAGCAGTTGTGGCGCACAGGCCTAGTTGCTCCGCAGCATGTGGGATCCTCCCGGACCGGGGCTCGAACCCAGGTCACCTGCATTGGCAGGCAGGTTCTCAACCACTGCACCACCAGGGAAGTCCTAACATTTACTTATGAGTGACTCAAATACAAGATGTCTTAGCTGACCCTTGGGATTGCATCAGTCATGCTGGAGACCTCTGGACATGGATTTAGCTTGAATGTTAGCTAGTACTTAGGTTAACTTGATAAAATATAAGTTGAACAAAATTCATTTTTATAGTAATGCATTAAATAGCAAAGATTGATCCTAAAATATTGAATTTTACATGACAATTGTCTTGTCATTTCATAGGATCATGCAATTTTTTTTTTTCTTTCCTTCAGGATATCCAGTGGTCTTATTCTTGACCACCCATTAGTTGAATCTCACTGGGTCTAAATACAAGATAATTATATCTTGTTAGCACACATCTCTGCCACCCCTATTTTTGGTCACAGTAGGACCCCAGAGCATGTGTCATCCTTAAAATACTAGGTGTTCCGAGTCATTTTCTTTAACCCGTAATTTTTTTAAACCTGTAGTTCCAAATTAGTTTCCTTAAAGTGAAATCTATTTATAAGGCTGCAGTCAATAAAAAGCTAAAAAGCTACAATAAGGAGCCCCTTTGGAACAAAGCCATAAACATCTTAACAAATCGAACAACTATGTGTACTGTTACAATAAACAATATGAAGAATTGGACTTGTGGTTGTCAAGGGGGAGGGTGGTGGAAGGGAAAAGGATTGGGAGTTTGGGATTAGCAGTTGCAAACTATTATATATAGGATAGATAAACAACCAGGTCCTGCTGTATAGCACAGGGAACTATATTCAATAGCCTTGATAAACCAGAATGGAAAAGAATATGAAAAAGAATATATGTATATATGTATAACTGAATCACTTTGATATACAGCAGAAATTAATACAACATTGTAAATCAACAGTACTTAAATAAAATTTTTAAAAATTAAAAAAATATATGAAGAATTGAACATTGAAATTATCAAGATAACTCTACTTATAAAACTGTGACCTAGCAAGAGAGTAGCACCTAAAACAAAATTGTGTCGAAGTAGTTCATGGATATCTGGTTTTTATTTTACTTGGTTTTGGTTTTGATGAATAGCCATGTAATTCTGTGTGCCATTTGGCCAGTGTTTTGGTTTTAGATGACTCTGTATGATGGTATAGTAGATCAGATTGATTGTAACTATGGTTAGGATCGTGAAAATTTAATGTTCTTAATTTGGTTAATTAGCGAATACAGTGTAAATTTATGGAAATAATTCTTAAAATATAACTGATTATATAAATATGAGTCATTAGCTAATACCACAAGCAAAGTATTTTACAGAACATAGTTCTGCAAAGCATACAAAGTTTCACAGGATTTTTTTTAGTACGTTGAATTAGTTATAATTACCATTGTATGTGAGGTTATCTGTGTTAAATATTTTATAAGCTTACATAGTAACGTAACTTTGTGTGTAAATCCGGTAGATTTCCCAGTATTTGACAAGATCAGTGTTGTGTTTGTTCATCATTATTCTCAACCCTTTGCAGTGCCAGACACATAGTAGGTTCTAAATAAACAGTTGGTAGATGGGTGATAAAATAACATCATTGACGTTTAATATCTCACAGAAAGTTGACGTTATTACACTTAAATATATGACAGTAGTGGTCATAAAAATCAACTGCGTTGACGTAAAAGAAAAAAAAAAGTGTTTTCTGATGTAATGTTTTTCATTCTGTTGACATACCAGTGAAAAGTTCCTTAAAAAATTGAATTTTCCTAAGGTAGCTGATAGTCAAAATAGTTTTTTAAAGTTTTTCCTGCTTTACACCTCAGACTTGCAATTCATTCAATACACATTTATACTGAGCAATATTATCTGATATTGATACACCTAATTTGATTATATTACTAAATGATATCTCTTCTCCTTTTTCAACTACATTAGTAAATGACCTGTGACCTTTTTATAAAATATTTCTTGGTTCAGTATAGTTTCCACACAGTGAAAATGTGCCTAAATCCATAATAGTGCTAAAGTATAGGTTAAACTTAGCCTGCCCAACCTTCACTCTTACCAAATAGAAACTTTAAAATGCTGTGATTCTATGCACATGGTATTCCAGAATTACTTCCCTAAATCCCCTCACAACTCACTTGTCACTTGTAAACTCCTGTTGGCCTCAGACAAATTCAGAACTAAGAACATAGAACCCTGTGGCTCAAATTGGGGCCCCAAACCAGCAGTATTGACATCACCTGGAGCTTAACAGAAATGCAGAATTGTGGACCTTACCCTAGACTTACTGAATCAGAATCTGTATTTTCTGCATTTTAACAAGATCCTCTTCTCTTGTATGTGTGTATTATAGTTTGAGAATTGATGTAAAGTTCTGTCTGTATTCAAGAACTCATCTGATGAGCCTTCTAGTATAGAAGACATTTAATTTTGAACAAGGGATGTTATTGCAGCAATGAATGAGTTGGTTCATTTTTTGTTTGCTTGTATTTTTAGAGTTAACACGAGAGTTTCATGTTTTCTGTTTCATCCCAAGGTAATCAGTGCTGTCGATGGATGGAAGAGGCTTCCCGCAGGAAGGCACCACTAACTTGCTGTTCCCACCCCCTCTGGCTGGATATGCAGAATGTGAATTGACCGTTTCTCTCCGAGCTGTTGCTTAAAACAGAACACATTTTTACTCCAGTATACAGATTGTTTCACCTAACACAAATTCCTCTTAAACATTAAAAGTAGTTATGGTTTATGAATCAAGGACAAAAATATCTTCTATCATAAAAACTTGGAATAAATTCATGGGCCAGTTTTCACCCAGATATTTGGGGAGCACAACTTACCACATAAAAAACCCACTGATCCTCTGATTTTCTGATTCAGAAAATTGAGACTATTAAGGTACTGAGATTTAAAAGATTTCACGTAACATAAGGATAAGCTTTATTTGTAAAACCTGTTACCTACGAGAAGGTGGAGGTAGCAGATGAGACTTGTTTACTCCCTCTGATGTGAATCTAGCCTTAGGCTGCGTGAACTGTAAAAACTATGAATTCATTACAAATTTCAAGTGGCCTGCAGTTGAAGATGACCATCCATTTTTTTTTTTTTTTTTTTGCCAGACTTTAATTCTAGCCTTTGTTCCCTGCTGGAAAAGAAGTGTGATCATTGAAGCTTGAGCTCAACTGGCTGGAAAATCTTTGTCAGAATTAATACATTTCTATTACATCACAAATATATTTTTCATTTAATTATCTGAAAATGGGGGAAAGTCTATAATAACAATTAAGAAGATTGGTTTATGATATTCTTTTGCTGGTTTAGCTTTTAAAAGTCTCTTTTTAGGTTATTCTATTGAACATAGCAAACATTGAATTTTTGTTAAGAATCTCTGATGGGCCAATGGATTAATCCTTTTGACATCTATATTATTTCTTTTTCCTCTCATCAGAAGTATGACAATTAAACTACATAGGTCCTCAAATACCTGTTAAGATTAAATTATGCAAATCATCAAACAAAAGTCATATCCTTTTGGAAATTTAGTCCCACATGAACTGAATGGTGTGCTGTTTGGAAACTGAGTTTAAGATAAACTACAGTGGTGTGTTTGTTGATGCCAAAATGTTCGGCTTCAGTAAATATACTAAGAAGCTCTTGTGCCTTCTATGCACTATTAAAGAGTCTTATTCTTTTTTAATTTGATGGAGTGCAAGTTTTGTAAATGTTAGCAATTAGAATACGCTGTGTACATTTTTTTGGTACTGATTTTGAGAATTTAAAGCAGATTACCCTTTAAGACTACCCAGCTAAGGAACTGGTATTTAAACAAAGAGAAAATGGTATTAAAGTTTTCAAAATCTGAATTAGATAAATTCAACACAAAGTAGACTAGAAGACCAGAGGATAATGGAGTAACAGATCTTTGCAGTTGCTCATCCTTGCTAAAAATATGAAGTTTTATATTAAATAACTTCATAAAAGAACCAGTGTCAGCCCAGTCCATTTTATAAATCATTTGAGTGCAATTCTTTGAGCAATAGGATGGTGGTCTTTTTCAGGTTTTTTTTTTTAAACTAAAGATTTTGATCTGACAATCTACTTCAAGAAAACTCAGAAGATATGATACATTCTTACTTTTATCCTAAAGCATTGTTTGATCATCGTTTTCATTACCTGAAGTGCCAGGTTGGAACCTATAGCTCCTGTTAGAAGTCTTAAGGGCAAGAGCATCACATAATGTATTAAGAATTATATGCAGCCTGATGCTTTTCAAAGCACAGGACTAGAGCTGTTTTTACGGACAGGATTCTGTTGGGTGACCCCTCCTGTCAAACTAGAAATTAGGGGAAAAAGAGGGATTTTTATTCTTTACCTTGCTAGAGTACTGTTAATTTCCCCCCCTCCCTTTAGCTCTTTCATGTAATTATTCAAATCCATAAGTCAATATACATTAGAATCAGATGAAAACATTTTTCAAAATAAAGTTTTTTTCATTAAGTTGTAATGGTTCCCTTTTTGGTTTCATACAGTGACTAATCTTTAAAATGTTTTTTGTTTAGTTTTAACTCTAAGGGGTTATAATTTTTGGAGATGATGGCATATCATTAGATTTGCAGTATAAATTTTATCTGAGTGAACAGAGCGTCAAATAGACCTACATTTTGTATATATTTATAAAATGTACCTTAAAAACACTTTAAACACTGCTTTAAAAAATTTAATTGCTTAACTCAAACTTGAAGACACTTGAAGTATGTCCTGACAGTCCATTAAATGATAATTTTGATTTTTCCTGTTTTTAGAGATTATATCATATAGGTATCAATATTTAAGAATTTTTTCATTTAAAAATGTTGTACAAATGCTTCATATACATTAGCTATTTGCCATTGTGCAGTGGAAGATTTGTTTTTTTCAAAGAGAAAAAAACTGCATCTGAATACAATGATGAGACATTCAAGTAAGTGCTTATCTATGAATTCCCTCCTGTTATACCATAATAAAGTCTGGTTGATCACCTTTGTTAGCTGTCTATATGAAATTGCCTTTGCACTAACAATCTAAATTGCTTTAAAGATATACTTTTCCTAATCATCTACCAGAGCTCCTGCAGGCAAGATTCATGTCTACAACCTGGTTATGACGTAGGTCTTTGGAGAAGTGGATGACAGGATGAGGTGATTGCTCATTAGTAGTTAAAGGAGCCTGAGGACAATTAGAAAAAGACTAACATTTGAGTGTGCTGGAATCAGTAGATGGCTGTTGGAAATATGGCATATGTTTGACAAAAAACCATCTTCACTGGGAAAATCATACACAAAGGTCTTATAAACCATGTTCATAAAAAATTAAGCTAGAAATGTGATTCATGCTTCAAGAAAACCTGTGAAAAAGCTGCTACTCGCTTATATTATAAACTAGCAAATTTTCCCTATTTTGCAATAGTACATGTAAACCTGCTGGGCTGATTCTTACTGTATGTATACTGTGGTGCACACTTACTGTCAAATATTTACCTGTAAAAGTGATAGTTCTGATACTATTATGAATTTTTTTTAGAAAAGCTACCACGTATATTCAAACCTCATAAAACTTAAACGCAAATCCACTTACACTGTAAACCGTGATGAAGGTATCCTCCAGTACGACCATCCCCCTTCCACAGACTACAAATTCTGATCTGCTAACATTTTATCTGAAGTGATGCATTTCAACAATGGATTTTCGCTAGTAACATACATCTCTGGGTAAGATCCTTCTGTGGAAAACTGTTCTAAGTAACCCCAAATGTTTTTTAACAGCCTGCACTCCTTTTCCACATACTTAGACAACTTAGAAGTATTTCCTCTTACCTGTGGAAGCAAATTGTGTTACACACCTCAAGGATTTGTTACTCTTTTACGAAGACACCACCAGAATTTTTTTACCTTGGTAAAAATCCATAGATTCTAATTTTTATTAAAACTTTAGCAATTTGATCATGTCACTTACTAAAAACATTAAATACCTTCCAACATTAGAGAATTCTTGATTTTAAAACTGAGCAATCTCTTCCTCCACTAGATTAGAATTTCCTACCAAAATATCTTACTTTGTTACAGAACACAGGCAACTGTGTTAGACTTTATAATGGTCCAAACCGTGCACCCTTCCTTTTGTCTTTGCCATGATGGATTTGTTATTCTTTTACAGTAGTGTCCCGATTTGTATCAAGTGGACATCACTGAAGGGATGAGTTCAAGTAGGCTTGTTTCAAAGGAACTCCTGTGGATCACAAACTATGAAGTATCTCCCAGCACGATGTTCAGTATAGCAGGAGGCTCTGAAATAGGATGTTTTTTCCATCTTCCAAAAAAAAGGATGTAAGTAAAGAGGATGCTTGTCCATAATGCAGTCTAGGTTATTAAGAGCTCAGTCTCTGACACCCTTGAATTGTTCTTTACCAACAAAAAGGTCAAATGAAAGTCTGGCCAATGTCAATAAAGACAACTTTAAATCTCTTGAAGCCCTCTCACTGCAAAAGAGTGACAGCAAAAACAAAATGCTGACAACGCCCAAACGTAGATCTTTGATGTTCCTGTTCATATAGCCAATATTCAGTATTTCTGTACTGTTAGTTTACAGGTGGGGGGAAAATGTGTTAATGTTATTCATCTTTTGTGTTGACTTATTTCTGAGTACCAATTAAACCAAAGGGGGCCTTTTGATAAGCGACTTTAAGCTCTGGTTTATGCTAAAGCAGCTCCTTATTGCTCAGAAAAGACATATTATTTTATGATTCATGAAAACAAACTGATTTTTGTTGCATCTTCCAGGGAAGATTTAACAATGTAAGGAGTTCAATCCTGACCTGAATTTAATACTTAATGTTTCTTGTTTGACAGATAAAGGTGCTTAATCAAATTAAGAAAAAAACATAATGCCCCAAAGTAGAGTTCTGTTGATGCTGAATTAAAGAACTGTTACCATGGAAAGCTTCAGTTCTGTTGTTCTTTTATTCAGCTGAAACTAAGACTATTGTCAGAATTTAGGTTTGTTTCTTTTTCTGTCAGTATGTATAGCCCCTAAAGCCTAGTATTGAAAGCATCTTAAATGCCCTAATCATTTATAATGTGAAAGTTGAATGTTTTAAAAAAGCAACCTTGATTATACACTAATCTTAGTGTAACATACAAACATGTTTTAAAGTTCTTTAAAAAATATACTTAGGCAAGAAGTAGAGAATATGGATGAGCCCTGGAGTAATGGCTAGAAAGAATCAACAGAAGGACAGTCTGTATACAGATGTATACTTCAGGTATGGTTTTTTGTTTTTTTTTTTTTGGTTTATGCTCTTTCTACATGGTCTTTGCAGTGGTATAAGACACCAGCTATCAGTAAACAATGTTAATTCTTGTTAGGAAAAGAAAACAGAGGTGTATGACACAAGTGAAATGGGTCCCCACCAAACCAAACACCTTACATTTCCACAAGTTTTAAAATTTGATCAATTAAACTTTTTCCTGCTCCATGCATACTTTTACCACCATCAGTTATATCACATCCTTGTAGATTCCACTTCAGGTTGTACTTAGTGGTTTCTCAACTTCTCTGAAAATATTCTCACCTGTAGTTGTTTCTTCTTTACTCAAACTCAGCACTGGTTTCTCAGAAGTAAAGAACAGCTGGCAGTACTGATAACATCTGACTCATTAAGAGCCAAAGAAAAACTCAATCATTTGTCTTGTTCCATAATTAACTGCTGATGTGCCCCACTCTTCAAGCAACTGTTCTCATCAGAAAGCTGTACACAAAGCTTACGTTTTCTCTGGATACTTCTTTGGGCTACTGCATTCAGACATGATACATAACTCACCATCAGTAAACAGCTTTGCTTGGCTAACAAATGGGCCACTTGTAAACATACTTTGGCTGCAGGCTTATTTTCATTTTTTATTTTTATGAAGAAATTATGCTGTGATGAGATACTCCATTTTAAAATTGCTAATTCTCCTGTTGCTTTCCCATGAGTTGGGAATATTGTGATGAGGGCTTAGTCTGGTTATATCAACATACGTTGTATTTTTTTTTAGGACAGTTACAGTGTCACAGTTTATTAAAATTTGATAATATAATTCACACTCCAATGTGCCTTAAAAAGCACACCAAAGTGCACTTTTCTTGTTTTGACATAGTGGGTATGAATTGGTAATATAAACAAATAATAAAATGTTGTGGTTCAGAGAAATACATGGCACAACTGCTGTCGGGTCATGAAATGATGAGAATGCCATAGGCAGTTTCTGTAGCAGCTACTCAACTTTCCCATTGTAGTGCAAAGATAGCCATAGACAGTACATAAATGATGTGGCTGCAATCCAATAAAACTTTATTTATGGACACTAAATGTTGAACTTCATAATTTTCACATGTCAGGAAATGCTTTTTTTTTCCCCCCAACCATTTAAAAACTATAAAATCCATTCTCATGTCACTGGCCATACAAAATACAGGCAGCAGGCTGGTTTTGATCAGTAGGCCATAGTTTGCTGATTCTTGCTCTAGTAGATTTAACAGAATATGGTTAAGTCCAGAATTAATGGCTTAGGAACATGAAAAAATGATCGAATATCTTTTATCCAAAAGCTAGGTTTAGTAAAGGTTATAATGTTCCTCTTTTAGAAGTTATAAAATATATTAGTTCTTGGAGACAGAAACCAAAACCAAAAAATTGATACAAACTCTGAAATTCAGCAACTACAAACTGAAATTCAGCAACTACATGGCTATTTAAAAGGCAATCTTTATAAAAGATCAAAAGAAAAAGAAACCAATTAGATAGCTAATTTGTGTTTGACTTTAAGAGAAGCCACAGTAAGTTATACCAAATGCATTTACTTTGTACATCTTTCAGAATAAATGGGGAGACAGAAGTCCAGTCTTAACATCTAGTTGAGGTATGCATTAAAAAATAAGCCAACACTGTTGAAATGTAGAAGGCTCAGGTTGATTTTTTTCAATTAAGAGATTAAAAATCATCTAGTTAATGAAGTTACTGAGTTATGTTCAGTTGCCCAAATTAAAAAAAAAAAAAACCCACAATAGCCCCCAAATATTTCTGAAACAAAATTACTAGTCATCAACATATATAAGAAAACATTTCTGAAGCCTTTATTTACAAAAGCTTTAAAAACAATCCCTCTGTTTCACAAATGTTTTGTTTAAAAAGGACCACCCAGTTACAGCATTGAAGTATCATGAATAAAGAATGTACAAGGGAAACAAACCAATGTGGCTAACATTTGGAGATTTGCTAATACTACTGATTGAAGTGCAGATAACACACATCATAACTTGTAGTCCATCATTTCAGGGCAGAGTTAATGATTACCAAAGTGTCTTCCTACACATGCTCTGATCTGGTCACATATTCTGCATGGCTAAATATTTCACAGTCTCTTTTGTCAATATATATAAAATAGATTGCAAAGATATACACAAAAAATAAACAAGCATTACACTCCTCAGGTAATTTTATTAGCTACACTGTATATAGCTAATAAATTTATATTTTTTGTATTTTGTTGTTTTGCACCAAATCTCTCCATTATTTATCTTTGTAGCAACTATGAAAGCACAAATTTTTTGTCTTCTAATTTAATCTGGTACAAAATATACCTAAAGACTTGCAGTCTTTGGATTTTAATGAAATTGATTTGTGTAATCAACAAATCAAGAGCATCATTAGGTATGGCTATAAAATTTTAAAAAATTAAAAATAAGGGTAAATAGCGATGGAATAAAAAGAAGCAGATCAAGGGAAGTGTGCTATCATAAAATAACCGCAGCTTCAACATCTTGGATACCAGTTTCCGCGCAGACACTAAACATCTAATCACAAAGGATTTTTCCTGAAGGGTGTAAAGCTGGTTTGAAAAATTCTTCAGTCACAGAGCAGCCTACACATGCCAATTAGAAACTGACAGACACGAGATGTGCTTGGGAGATTAAGTACTACGTACAGAAACAGCAGTTACTAAGCTCCTCAGTAGTTTTTTTTGTCTTTTTTTTTTGTAGTCTTGCTGAATCAACCATTTGCACAATGCATGTTCTATATTCTGTGGGTCAAAAGCAAGTAAATACTGTATAAAGTTGGCAGATGGTCATTTTTCCAGCTAAGAGCAAGAAAAGCCAAAACTGCTGATAAAACAGAGGATTTGAGTCAGAGTCACTCTCTAAAGTGCAAAATTGATGGTCCACAATCTCAAATAGCTAAAACTCCTGCAGAATGGAAGGGAGACATGAAACAGGGAAATAAATTACAGTCAGTGCTAGTTAATTTAGGAAAGGGAAAAAACCCAAGCTCAAGTAAGTAATGTTGATCAAAGTATTCAATATGATGTACTGAATAGCTTTCCCCACTCTGTCACACACACCTACTAACAAGTATATTAAGGCCAGATTTAACCTGAATGCTTTTCTATTTATTAAGATCTGAGATAGGAATGGTCATACTTAGTACTGAAAGGCAGAAAATAAAATGAGCTATGAGAGAAAAAACAGTAATGTCTATTGTTCAAGGGATTCAACCAGAGATAAAACCTATATACAAGCATGTGCGTAGCTCAAATAAAATAAAAATAAAAGAACTATTTCATGTCATGACTGCTTGTTGGCTTCCTCTTCATATGCATTCCCTGTGCCATTCTGTACATAGGATGAACCAGAACCAAGGCCATACAAATGACCACAATATTTGGCATCATCAATATGATCTTCAAAGAACATCTAAAAAGGAATTTTGGAAGAAAAAAAAGATAATTTTAACCAAAAGGTACCACTGGTAATTTATATTTCAGCAATGTAAGTACTGACTGTTCATTAACTATAATGACAGCTCTTTTCTATGGTGCTCCTCTGAAGCCACACATTTAAATTAAATGTATAAGACTGGCTTTCTCAAGAAGTACAGAGCTCAAAAGAAACCAAAGAAAAAGACTACCAAAAAAATGTATAAACACAACGCCTTTCCTATTAACACTCAGACCATTTTTGAGAATTTGTAACGGAAAAATGGCAGGCATTTTTATTCCATTAATTTAATAATACTTAATCATGAGAATGAATAAAAATAGCCAGTAATGGGCAGGGGAGGGGAAGTTTAGGTTTATAAGTAGCCTTGAGTTTGTGTGCAAGGCTAAGTTGGCTAAAAACAATCAAACCCCAAACATGTCTGGACAGCAAACCCTGAACATTCAGATTAGGTTATTATCCTTAATAAAGCCAAGAAAAATAAAGATAACGAATTAGTAGCAAAGAATCCACCATTAATTGAACCATAAAGGCATTTTTAAATGCAAAACTGAGAACTCAAAAGGTTGTCTTAATTCTCTAATGAAGCACTGGGAAGAAGTACAAAACAAAATATTTACTTGTCATGAACAGTCCAAATCACTTCTGAATCAATACCACTTGGCAAAATAGCTATATGCTTTCTATTGTATGTATTATTAATACATTTCTACAAAAAGTTTTAAATCCCCAGAAGTATTCTCAGTCATTTCTTTAATGTCTAAGAGGATATACTCAAAAGAATTCTACAGTGAATATTTTGCAAGAAGGAAAACTCTTTTGTAAGCAAAAAAGTCCATTCTGTTTTGTTTTTGCACAACTGGCTTTCTTTTCTTTGCATTTAGCTACAATGAAGTATACCTGTCACTTAACCTAAGAGTAGACTTGGGTTCATTAAATTTCATTCTTCCATACCTAACTTCTTTATATTTGAAGAACTTATCTCTGTCTTTTGCCACTTAAGGAGTGTCTGCCCAGCATGGTTTTTGATTTAACTATTTCAGATTTAACCCCTTTAGAATTCAAAACCTCTTGGTAAGAATCTACTAAAAAGCATGAGTCCTACTCTGTAAATCCTCAAAGAACTGAAGAATGGCAAGAGCAAACAGTATTTTCAGCAGCAGTTTTAATACCTAAGAGAAGCCAATGCCAGGGAAAACTTAACATATGGATTCCTTGACTTGACAGAAGCAACACTGATGTGGCCAACAGAAAGTCCTCTGGAGTTCTCCCATTAGTAATGTGTATGACCTTGGATAAAGGCTACCTGCATCTGGCCTCAGCTTCCTCACCTAAAAAATAATATGGTTGGACCTACATGACTTCTAAGGTAGTTTAAATTTTTTATTCTACAAAGAACTTATTTTTTTCATTGCCTTCTGAACTACATTTCAAGATGACTTATGATGACTTTTGATTACTTTCATTCAAGTGTAGTGAGTATGACTTATATGGTACTTATAATTATATACTTCACTTAATATGTACTTATTGCCCCAAAACTCTTGCCATTAGATTTTAATGTTCTCAACCTAACGACCAACTGAGAAAAATGCACTGATGTCTCCATACTTCTCTCATTTTGAAAAAGGCCATTCCTGTGAGCAATGAGTCAGATCCTGCCTGATGCTGTGGTCCTATCCGTTCCAGCTCTAACTGTTCAGCAACTTCCTGTAAACCACCCTACAAGAAAGAAAAATGGCTTGTCAAAAGAAAGAAACATTGCAACACTCGAATTCACAAATTACATAACTTAGACAATGACCAAAATAGAAATGAACTTCAGTATGTAAAGATGGACCTTATGAAGATCAGCAAAAAAACAGAGAATGTGAATTACTGATGTATTTGTTGAATGGGGGAGATGTTTATAATTTAATAAATGAGATCCTAATTGGGAAAATTTATCTTCATCACACTCTTTAAGGCATGTGGCAGGCAAATAACTTCCCTAAAGATATGGGGGAAGCAGATCATATATAAGGTAACAGGTACACAGGGTAACATTTACCAAGTACATCCACAGTCCCTCTATCATCCATCAAGTATAAAACTGACTGTAGGCAGTTACTTCAAATTTTCTTAAGCTTCACACCAATCTATCTCTAAATAGTTTCATCTAAATAATTTGCACAAAACAAAGCTGTTATGATTAAATCCATAAGAATGCACTAAGTGCTTAACTGTGGTTTTGTTAGTTTAAAAAGGTTATGTTGTTATAAGAATACAACTCCTTAGAAGGGTCTGCTAAACACCCTCCTATGTAAATATTGCTAGGATTAAAAAAAAAAAGATAATGTGATTGAAAGAAAGGAAGAGAAAGAATACAAGAAAAGAAGGAGAGAGGGAGTGAGGGAAGGAGAATAAAGAGGGGGAAAATGGGAGGAGAGAAAGTAAAGAAACATCAGGACCAACGACACACACCAATTTCTCTGAATTGTTAAGGCCTCTACCACCAAACTAGCCCTTCTCTGCAACACAGCTTGAAACAGTGCTTTGCACAGCAGCTGCTTCAGAGCTAAAAATAGCACAAGGATTAGGTATCATTAGCAGCTGCTTAGGAGAGCAACACAATAGAGCTACTCAGTACCACTGACTACAGGTCAAAAAGTACCTTTGTCATTAACCTAAATGTTAACACTGCCGGTAACTCGGGGCATATTCAGAATATCTAATATGCTTAGAAATTTTTCAACAACACACACATAATGAACAATAATTCGGTTCTCTGTTCCCCAAAACTGTCATTGTACAGACATGTCAATTTTAAAAAGCATTTCCACAGCCAGATTAAAACATTTACACCTTGGATTCTCAGCACACAATACTTTCAGGAGGTACCCTTTCTAGAGTAATGAGGATAACCTACTGTAAGTTCACTTGAGTCACAGTAGTCTCTTCAAATTGCACAGAATTCTGCTGTTCTTTGGTGCTACAAACGTGAAGTAATATTTCTTAAAAATTTCCCTGGTTATATGCTATATCCTGTAATGAGGCAAGCAAACTTTGGACAAAAGACCACTCTCATGATTTTCAGTTCATCTGTCAAAAGCAAAGTTTCCTTATTCAATTCCTAAATTATTTCTTTCTGCATGAAAGTAAAACTCTTAAAGTTTTTACCATCTCCTAAAAGTATAACCTTCCTTGCACTTCTAAAAAGCTGGTAAGGAGAAAACTTGATTACCCTTGATGTAAGTTCTATGAAGCAACCACTTTACATAAATGTTTTTCCTGAATTACAGCTTAAACACAAACACACCAGAAAAAACAAAACCACTATATTCCTTAGGAGTCTGTACCCCCGTAGTGAATTCATTCTAAGACTAAAGGAGCACTTTTCCTTAATAAAGACACTTTCTTTTCTTTTTGAAAGAATTAATGTTCAGAAGTAACAAATCATTTACACACATGGTAAGCAGTGTCAGAATGTAAGCTGCTGTCTAGACAGGACTTACCCAATCACTAGCACTACTAACAAGCTGACATCTATGGGCCAGGGGAGGAAAAAAAAACCCTCTTAGCTATGTAATTTACTCCTAGTAACATGACCCTATGACTAGACCCAAGAAAATAATCTCTCATGAAGGTAAGCTGAAGGGGAAACTCTTTTTGCTACACAACTGACTATATCTGCACATTGCTGGCCACTTCAGACTTTATCTTGCATGGAAAGATTATGTGCGTGTTGCAAGAGAGTGAGAACTTGGACTTCTGTGCCTGAGAGGCTCAGATTCTGTGCTAGTTTATGTTCAATCTGGCAAGCAATGACAAAAATCTGATCTTCTGTTTAAATCTTGTTGAAAATTTATTCTGCCAATCTATATTGAAGCTCTGAAAAAGGATTTCCTATAAACTTTTATGCAAAAAAGGAATCAAATAATCAGATAATGTAACCGCACTGAACATAAAACTTAAAAATAGGGTTTAAATCAACATCCCAACCCAGCACCTTGTAAGTCAGTCACCCATTCTGAATACTGTGCTGATTACAGATAAAGACATTCGAAGCCTTACTTTGAGATTTTTGCAGCTCTTCATGAGGTACTTCACATCATAAATGACAGGAAAAAACAATCGAAGGATCTCAAAAAAGTCAAGTTCTTCTTCAGGCAAGTTAGAATTGGTCAGGATTTTGATTAAGTAGCCAAAGTCATAACCACTACAAAAGGGTGAAAGAATAAAGAAGAGGGGCCATAAATACCACAGAAATGAAAAGATAAATTTTTTTCTGACACAACTTTTAAGTGAGTCACACTGTAGGCGGAAAAAAAAAAATGAACCAGAAAAAAGTACACAGAATAAAAGAGAAAATAAATATGTTTACAATTATAATGGGAAAAAAATGCCACCTTTTACAGACAGTGTCATTTCATCATTCAGGGATACCAATATACAGAGATCTCTACTACCCTCCTAAGCGTGTAGTCACTAAACTACTATTTTGCTAATCCTTGAATAGAGAACTCTCTAAAGAGTATCAAACTGTCCATAGCAGATAGCTCAAAAAATAAAGATGAAAGGAAACTTGGCAAAAATGTCAAATGACGCAGGAAAACTGGCATTCAGAAGGCAAAAATAATGCATATCTTCGCATCATTTACATAACAAGGTCATACACTTCAAAAACCCAAACGGTAATTCCCTAACAAAGTATCTTCACTTCCCTTAAGTGATTTTATTAATACTACTCTCTTCCCTCAAAATTTTGTTCCTATCTCAATCCCCAAGAGATACTAATGGTAATGTTGAACCTTGAAGCGAAGGTAGTAAAGGCTGAGAACTAGTATCTAGAAAATAAAAAACCAACTCCCACACTCTCAAATCAACACCTCCTCTCCCTACTGTTTGGCTTTTCCACAGCTTTATATCAATACCTCTCTACACTCCCGTGCCACAATCACACCCCTTCTTTTCCCTGTCTACCTTTCCTTTAAGGACCTCCCACAGGATGCCTTCCCTCAAGAGCTCAGCTCCCGCAGATTTCTGAGACAAGCTGTTTTCTTGTACTTCCCTTTAAAGCACATGTATTGTTTTCTCCACGTTTAAAGGGTAGGTGTCACATCTTAATTTTTTTTCCTTATGGCACATAGTTGGGACTCAAATATTTGATGAGAGATGCTATTTAACATATCTTTCAGGGGAGATTACAAATAAAATTTCTATTCAATGTTTAGAATTTTACTTCTTACTTTAAAAAGAGAAAAAAATGTTTTTACATTGAAGACCATTAAGGAATATCAAGGAATAAACAATAAACAGCAGAAACCTTTAAATTTCTGGTAGCTAACAAGGAAGTAACTAACTTTACTGTCTACCTAAAATATGTCAGTATGTTTGCTTAGCATCAATACTAGTAAAAGGAAGATCATATTAGAGTTTAGGATTTATAAATTTCTTCAACTAGTCTTTATCTACTAGAAATAGATTCGAATATGAAGAAAATATTTAATGACATTTAGTAGAATAAAATCTTAACATATCTTGACAAATACTCAAATATATCAGAGTCTAATCCAGACTCTAAACTCTAAGAAGACATGACCCCTTTCTGTTTTTGTTCATCTTATCCTAGTACCTAGCATAGGGTATTTGCTCAGGGTATTTTTTGAAAGAAAGAACCTGTCATACATAGTAATAAAAAAACAGGACTATGCTTTCCAGTTCTTTTGTATCTTCATGACCAAGAAAGTAAAAAAAAAGAACTCAAAAAACGTTCCTGAAATTACCAGAGACTTAAGCCTCATCTCCTGAGGTATAGGCTCAAATGGAGAACAGAGAAAAAAAATGATAGGTGGGAATTGGTGTGCTCAATACTCCAGCTCAAAAATTACTGCTTAGTACTGCATTGAAGCTGACAGTATGAACAGTCCTTCACTATTCTCATTCATCACACAGGCCAGCACTGGAAATTCTAAAGCACGCAGAAACTCTTTTTTTTTTTAAATGTGTGAAGTGGACCAAGTATAAGAACATTAATATATGCAAAATGCAGTGCTTTTTAAAAAGATAACAAGAGGCCAAATAAAATTCCCAAGGTCACTATTAGTCCCTGGGCTGCCAATTTAATTTAGTTTACTTAGATAGGAAAATTCTTTCTCTTACCTAAAAGTCTATATTTACAAAATGGAATTAATTTCCTTTCCAGAAATTCTCTTCAACAATCTGATTTTATTTTATGATAAGAAAGAATTTAAAACTACCACTTACTGAGAATTTACTGTGTGTAAAGCACTTTACTAGATGCTTTAAATACGTTATTATCGACCATTAAAACAATTCTGTAAGATAATTCTTCTAAGTGATTTCTTCCTGACACTCTATTAGAAAAAAAAATTAAAATCCACCACAGAGACCCACCCCTAGCTTTCTCTTTGCCATTTTTTTTCCATAGCACTTAATCACCATCTAACAAACCACAATATACATCTCATCATTTTAAAAAATTGTCTGCCTACTCCCACCGGAATGTAAACTCCATGAAATGATTTTACTCTATTTTGTTCGTAGCTTAATGCCTAGAATCTTACCACAGTGCTTGGCATATGGTAGATAATAAATAACTTTTTTGAAAAATGAATAAATGTTTTCATTCTAAGGCTTAGAAATGTTAAATAACCCTAGGTAACAAAGATTCCAAATGGCACTGCTGGATTTAAACCAAGGTCTATTTTTCCAGCCTGTGCTCTTTCCACATGCAATACTGTCTCTTAGTCCAAAATGGATCCCGTATCATTAAATTCATCTTTAAGCAAAACCAACATTAGCCTGTCAAGAGTTAGGAGACTGCTACATGGCAGCCAATTTTTTGTAACTAAGCCTGAAATTGCTGACAGTGACCCAAGTGAAGTGTGAAGCAGCCAGGAAATGATAACACAAATGCCATTTTCAATGTAATCTTTTTAC